TGATGGTAGAGCGTGAACAGCGTTGTTACAGTACGGTAAAGGTTGAGGGGACGTTTATTTTTGATACGCTCTTTGTCAGAAACACTAGTGCTATGTGACGTCTTTACAGAATCTAAAGGTTTTTTTTTCATTATTATACATTTTTTTTTTAACCATGCATCATGAACAATAGGGCTGGGAAAATGGATTCACAAATGCATCACAATTCTTTCTCAAATGATTCTGGATTGATTTGCAAAACAATATAATTAATTTTATTTTAAAGTATTAATAATTAAGTTTAGTGCAACACAAGTTATTTACACAAGATTTACAGTTGTGTAGAGATTTTTTTGGTTGCATTTTTTTTACATCTACATTTTATTATTTTAAATAATTATTATTTTAGTTATAAATATTATATCGTTATAATGACAATTTGATCAAATTTTAATCATTAAAAATATATATATTATTTGTAATAACTTAAAATGATTTAATAATTAAAAAATTCACACATTTCTGTAACATTAAACGAAAACATGAATAGCTGTTATGGTGAAATCAAACTAATTTTTACGAACACTTTAAAAGATTAGGTTTAAAAAATTGAATCAGTTTGGAATTGAATCATGACTCTGTGAATCAAAATCTAATTGAATCATGACTCTGTGAATCAAAATCTAATTGAATCATGACTCTGTGAATCAAAATCTAATTGAATCATGAGTATTTAAGGAATATTATGTGTTATTTAGTTTATAACCAAAACAAGTTTGTAGCAAAGACCTTTGTGGCTCAAACACCAAACTTGAAATTTGAAACTGAAAATGATGTTTACCATTTTAGAAAGTCATGAGCTTTTGTGCCATGGAGTTTTATTTTTCTGAATCTCTATCTGCGCTGCAGCAGTATCTCAGCTGGGAGTGAGTAGAAACCAAAGACCAGCTTGAATGTGGCTCCAAACGCCTCTATAGGTTCATACTGTGGAATGCTTAGTTTAGACGACAGCATTGATATAAAGCATTAAATATTAGCTGCACTGGCAGAAATATACGAGCAGGTAGAAATAAAAAATTCTGTAATGATAGAATATTAAGATCCCTTTATACTTAAGAATAGCTGTAGTTCTTCATTGAGGAATGGATTCATGAATGTGCTTGAATGCATCTAGTGTAGTTGCTTTGTGCAGCTCTAAGGCTTCAAACTTTAATTTGATTAAAGGAATAATCCAGGCAAAAAATTACAATTTGCTGAAGATGTGCTCACCATCAGGCCATCCAAGATTAGGATGAGTTTGTTTCTTCATCAGATTTGTAGAAATGTAGCATTGCATCAGTGTCTCAGCAATGGATGCTCTGCAGTGAATGGGTGCCGTCAGAATGAGAGTCCAAACAGCTGATAAAAACATCACAATAATCCACACCACTCCAGTCCAAAGCACAACTGTATAGAGTTTTGTTTTTTGTTTAGCATTTTTTTATATCTACATTCAATTATTATTTTAATTTAAATATTATATAGTTAAAATATTAAAACATTAATAAATTCTTAGTGTTAAAATGTTTATATTTAAAAAATTTAGTTTAAAAAATCACACATTTCTGTACAGCTGGGAGTGCGTGTATTGAATTACATTGATTTTTTGGGGGAAAAAACACACCTAAGTTGTTTTCTATGTGAAAATTTGTTCTTTTTCACTGGAAAAATGCAATATTATTTATGGACTCATTCAGCTGAAAGCAACAGTTTGAAGTTAAAAACGTCTTGTCCAAAGCACAACTGTATAGAGTTTTGTTTTTTGTTTAGCATTTTTTTATATCTACATTCAATTATTATTTTAATTTAAATATTATATAGTTAAAATATTAAAACATTAATAAATTCTTAGTGTTAAAATGTTTATATTTAAAAAATTTCGTTTAAAAATTCACACATTTCTGCACAGCTGGGAGTGCGTGTATTGAATTACATTGAATTTTTTTGGGGAAAAAACACACCTAAGTTGTTTTCTATGTGAAAAATTGTTCTTTTTCACTGGAAAAATGCAATATTATTTATGGACTCATTCAGCTGAAAGCAACAGTTTGAAGTTAAAAATGTCTAGATGGATTTGTTTCTTACAAACACATAGCTTTTGTGTTCTCCAGACATTAACTGATGGACTGGAGTGGTGTGGATTACTTGTGGATTATTGTGATGTTTTTATCAGCTGTTTGGACTCTCATTCTGACGGCACCCATTCACTGCAGAGCATCCATTGCTGAGACACTGATGCAATGCTACATTTCTACAAATCTGATGAAGAAACATCAGATTTTTAGGGTGAACTGTTTCTTTAAGTCATAGCTGTAATGGTTGTACAGTTGTGTATTGGATGTTGCATTATACAGTATCTTTATTATAGCACAAGTAAGCCGCTCGTGTGGCTTCAGACTGCAGTATTTTAAGTGCCAACAGCCTGTTTTTATCGGTTCTCTCAATCCGCAGGGTTCGGCACGAACAGCACAAGCGACGTTTGTTTTTGTGTGCTTTAAACATATATATAGGGTCAAATAAACAGGTGTTTACTTTTATATTTCTTCTTGTTCATGCAGTACTTGAGTATGTGTACTTTGTATATTCTATTACAAGAGCACGTGTGATTTGATTTGGAGAAAAATTGAGCTTTAGAAGTGGCGAGAACTCTCTTCAAGGACAAACTCTCTTGAGGTCCCAGCATCATTTCTGCTTACTCTGACTTTTCCACATGCATCTCATCTTAGGTTTCTCCTGCAGCTCTTGACAGCCTGATTATACGATGATAACAGTATTTCATTCTGCAATGTTAAGAGTCATGCTGTGCTGACCGGCTAACGCAATCAGCTGGAAACTCCAGAGCAAAGGCTCACGATATATCATCTCTGAATTTAAAGAAAACCTGCTGAATAAATTTGTTTTACATTGAATTACCAGTGTGGTTTATTGCATTTACATATTCTCAAAACTTCCTGGAAAAGTAATATTTAAACCAATGGTTTCAATGAGACTGATTTATATATGCGTGAATTTGCTAAGTGTTATATTTGCTCAATTATTGCCCAAGTAAACGCATGTTTAAAAATACGCAATGCATTGTTCAAATCTTGTGAATTTTGTTTTGAAAGTCCATACTTTAAGTTGTATTCTGTGCATAAATAAATCCTGGCAAAGTAATAAACAAAATGTTAATACATTTAAATGTTAAATTTTTTGTATTACATTTGCTCACTAAATGCCAAATCAACAGTACTTAATTTTGACGAACGCATTAGTTTTGTTTTCAACGTCCATACTTTTAATCTAAATATTTTGAGGTCACAAGTCATTTAAAAATGACTGTTTGGAGATTCAATTTCATACCATTAAAATGCTTACATTTTTACAACATTTTCATTGTTCACTTAGAAAATGGTTTAAATCTTAGTTTTGTTTTCAACGTCCATACTTTTAATCTAAATATTTTGAGGTCACAAGTCATTTAAAAATGACTGTTTGGAGATTCAATTTCATACCATTAAAATGCTTACATTTTTACAACATTTTCATTGTTCACTTAGAAAATGTTTAATGGACAATCAGATATTAGCAGCTATTATTATTAGACATTAAACATGCAATATGTGTTTTACATTGAATTAGCAGCATGATTTACTCCGTTCTTTTCAGCATTACATACACTGCAAAAAAATATTTAAACAAAATATGATTTAAATATGCTTAATTTTTATTTTGCATTACAGTTGATCAATTAATGCCAATGCAAATGTAGTTAACATCGACTAAAATGGGCTTTTTTTTTTCCAAGTCCATACTTTTAATCTTAAATACTTATTCTGAATTTACATTTACACCATTCAACTTTTTTTTTTTCAAAATTGTTCATACTATTGAAATCCTTACATGCAAGACTTTTACGGTTTGCATAAAAAAAAAAAAAAGTTTAATAGACATCAATTTTATATTAATTATTTTTGTTAAAATTAATATATTCTAGGCCTGTTGTGACTAAATATTGCACAGAATAAAGGTTTACTGCCTCTGCCTGGATGCATTTCACAATGTCGTGTTTATGTTTTAAATGTAAGACTTTCAAAACCTTTTAACAAAAAAATTCCAAGTTTCCAAAACCTGAACCAGTGATTACACGGAAATCCACTGGATGCATCTGAAAATGTCCTCAGGGAAGTACTGCAGACACACAAGGGTTAGAACAACATAGTGGGCATCTCTAACATGCATTTTTACACAGAGACAGAGGAAAAGTGCTCTAGTTTGCAAATGAACAGACAAATCCCAGCAACTGTTTACAACAACATTTTATTTGAACAAAGCTCCTGAAGCACATCGATGCTCCAGTCTACTTCAGCTTCTTCTTGGGACGCAGGTTGTTGGTGTGGCCGCACTTCTTCTTGCGGCAGTTGACGGCACGTGGGTGCAGACGGGCGTAACACCTGAGACGAGAACATCACTTCATTATCATTACTTTCTCAACACAACACTTATATATTTTAAAATAATAATAAAAAAAATATATATATAAAAAATTACATTTTTTCTGGCAATATTTAATGACATTACTTTATGAATTTAAGACTTTCTGCACCCAAGACATTTTCTAAGGCCTTAATTTGTGGAACATAAGCGCCACATTCACAGTGCCATCCGCTGAAGCTCATACACACCCTCCTTGTCCTGGATCTTGGCCTTCACATTCTCGATGGTGTCGCTGGGCTCGACCTCGAGGGTGATGGTCTTACCAGTCAAAGTTTTCACAAAGCAAGATATTTCACAATATATTCATGTATTCTACCAGAATACATTAAAACATATTCACAATGAAACCATCAGTTATAAATATACAAAACAAATCATTCATTTCAAACAGACCTCAGAGTATTTTCATCATACAAGTGCACAATAAATACAGTGTCTTTTCAGTTAAAAGTCATTTATAGCCTATTAATTACAGACTGAACATTACTGATATGGATTTGCTCTGCTGCTCTGTCATGAACTAAATGCACATGCCAGCAAGTATTTTTATTTCCATTCAATTCTACTCTTTTAGTAGCGATATGAGGTGCAACTAAATAAAGAGAAATTCATTGATCTACCTCTCCCTCACAAAGCCTTCCTCCTGGGTGTAAATGAGAGTGATTCGTGTGTCTTTCTGCAGCGATGCTCTGATGATCTCAGTGTGGATGAAAGAGAAACACGGTGCTGCTATCTGGCTTTCGGCAGTCTTCTGTTCACGTCGGCTTTCTGATTCGTCAGGTTATTTAAAACACAGCTGGAGCTGAGCATCGCCAGCCTGGAGTCCAGAACCACCTTCCTCTTCCTCCAGGAAGACCGATCTTCCTCCTCCTCTTCCTCTTCCTCATTCTCTTCCTCCTCTGCTTCACTTTCAACGTCGCTGCGTTCGTCCTTGTCCAACTATTGAAGAGAAGGTTAAAGTGAGTTTGGTTAAATATATTTTGGTTCATTTAAATAAACCAATTTATGGCAGTCAAATAATTGATCAGAATGTACAATGCATTTGTAATCAGTTCATAAAATAATAAAAAAAGAGAGAAAAGTTCCTTTGAGCACAAATCACATATTTTGTTACGTATTCAACAGTGTTGTTGTTAACTAAAACTGAAACTATTAAAATTTGTTTGTTTGTATGTAACTGAAATATATAAAATAAAATGCAAACATGAAAAACTTAAATGTAAAAATTTAAAGAAAATGAGAAATGTTTCTCTGGCAACTAGCTGAAATAAATTATTTATGTTGACATACTAAACTTACTAAAACTAAAATGAAATTAAAGCTAAAGCTAAATAGAAATATATACAAAACACACAAAAAAACACAAAAGCAAAAATACTAAAACTAAATTAAACTAAACTAAAATTAAAATTGAACTGAAACTATACAAATAAAACTCACTGAAAATAATCATTTTTATTAATTTAAAATGAATAAAATTATTACTGAAATAAAAATAATTCAAGCTAAATATATATATATATATATATATATATATATAATAAAAATGACAAAAGCACATAGCAAAAGTACTAAACTTTAAACTAAAATTAAAATTGCCAATATATAAAAATAAAAGTAAAATAAACTGAAATAGATTGTTTAAGTTGAAGTACTACATTTACTAAAACTAACAATGAAATTAAAATAAATTATAGCTAAACAGAAATATTTATAAAAAACAAAAAGTAATAAAAATGACAGAAGCACAGCAAAATTACTAAAACTTCAACCAAAATTAAAATTAAAACTTACAATATAAAAGTAAACGTAAATAAAATAAATAATTTAAGTTGAAGTACTAAAATTACTGAAACTAAAACTAAAAAGAAATAAATAAAAGAAATAAATAAAAATGAATTAAAGCTCTCTCTCTCTCTCTCTCTCTACATACACTGAACAAAATGATAAACGCAACACTTTTGTTTTTGCCCCCATTTTTCATGAGCTGAACCCAAAGATCTAAGACTTTTTCTATGTACACAAAAGGCCTATTTCTCTCAAATATTGTTCACAAATCTGTCTAAATCTGTGTTAGTGAGCACTTCTCCTTTGCCAAGACAATCCATCCACCTCACAGGTGTGGCATACCAAGATGCTGATTAGACAGCATGATCATTGCACAGGTGTGCCTTAGGCTGGCCACAAGAAAAGGCCACTCTAAAATGTGCAGTTTTACTGTACTGGGGGGGTCCGAAAACCAGTCAGAAAAGTGTTGCGTTTATATTTTTGTTCAGTGTATATATATAACAAATACTAATAAAAATGACAAAAGCACATAAAATTACTAAAACAAACTAAAATTAAACTGAAAATACAAACAAAAGTAAAACTAACTGAAATAAACCATTTAAGTTTAAATTCTAAAATTACTAAAACTAAAATTAAATTAAAGCTTAATAAAATTATATATAAAAAACTAAAACTAATAAAAAGGACAAAAGCACATTACAAAAGTACTAAAACCTTAACTAAAATTAAAATGAAAACTGAATATATAAAAATAAAAATGCATTCATAACATCAATAAATACTCTGACAGTATTTAATAGTAAAATACCACTTTTATGCAATATGATGGACGGACGGATTGACTTACTTTCCCTAAGAAGAGAAACTTGTAGATCATTCTCAGGATGAGATAAGCCCAGTAAATGTGCAGCACCTGCAGCACCAGCAGCAGCGCATTAAAGAAATAATATCCTATAAACGGCTCAAACACTTCCATAGACAAAACAAGAGTGGTGTAGATGATCCTACAGGAGAGAAACACACACACACACACACACACACACAGACACACACAGACACACACACACAAAGTGTTTATGGCTTAAACACTGAGAAAAACAATGCACAGGAACCAAATCTAAAAGCAGCTTATTTCTATTACAGCCACTGGATAAACAACTAGATAAAGTGACATTAATAGTGAAGTGGTTTACAATGGGAACTGAAGACGATGTTATCTGATACTTCAGGACTGAAAGAGTTTAAAGTTCTTACTTGCTGGGAAACACGAGCAGGCGTGTAACCAGGAATACAGCAGCAAAAATCACAAACAATGAATCGCAAGTTTTCTTCCAGCCGGCATAGTTCAACATCTTGGCAGACTGTGGAAAAACCAGAGAGATTTTGTTGAGCTACTATCAATTCCTATCAATTTTAAGCACTGAAACTTAAAAACTTAAATTAAAAGAAATGTTTTCTTGGCAACTAACTGAAATAAAGTTGAAATACTAAAATGACTAAAACTAAAATAATAAAATGATAAAATTAAATTAAAGCTAATAAAATAAAGCTCAAAGAAATATTTATATATCAAAAGCAAATAACAAAACTAAATTTAAACTGAAAATGTATCAATAAAAAACCATAAAAATCCAAATGACTCTAAAGCACAAAACATCACTAAGCGTAAAGGTCACTGCAAATGATGACCCAGGAACAGATGTGGCTTAAACAGGAAACAGGAGTGAAATGACGGGATGGTGATGTGTTTGGGGAGTTTTCTGGCCGTGTTAGACTCGTTGTTTCTGAGCATGAATGCGTGACCAAGCGGTCGAGCTCGTACCTCCAGCAGGAAGTCAGAGGAGTCGTGGACGAGCATCACCAGGGTCCCGATCCGAATGTAGTTGGAGCAGTACGAGAAACTCAGCAAGAAGATAGTGGCGAAGTGGTGGACGATCTGTTCTTTGAAATCCTAAAACAGAATTAACGGAAAAGGACGAAAGAATATAAGTAACTGATATTATGATGGGCGGTACTGACAGGAAATGAAACCTGAAACAACCAAACAACAAATCCGTCTAGACAATGGATGATGATGTGCTGACACACTCAAGGAAGAAAATCACACATTAAATTTCTCCAACATTCAAGCATTTAAAGGAACAGTACACTCAAAAATGAACATTCCATCACTTGCTCACTAATAGCAGTGAATGGGTGCCGTAGGGCTGTGCGATATATATAATCTATGACAATATCGTAATTGTTGTTTAAACGATATGTGACCCTGGAGCACAAAACCAGTCATAAGGGTCAATTTTTTGAAGCTTTCCATTGATGTATGGTTTGTTAGGATAGGACAATATTTGGCTGAGATACAACTATTTGAAAATCTGGAATCTGAGGGTGCAAAAAAATCTAAATATTGAGAAAATCATCTTTAAAGTTGTCCAAATTAAGTTCTTAGCAATGCATATTACTAATCAAAAATTAAGTTTTGATATATTTACGGTAGGAAATTTACAAAATATCTTCAAGGAACATGATCTTTACTTAATATCCTAATGATTTTTGGCATAAAAGAAAAATCTATAATTTTGACTCATACAATGTATTTTTGGCTATTGGTACAAATATACCCCAGCGACTTAACACTGCTTTTGTGCTGCAGGGTCACATATGTGATTTGACATTATGGAGTATATCGCAAAAACCAAACAAAAACACACACCCAGAGAGTGCACGCATGCACTCTATTAAAAGTCTATTAAAATACATTTAGAATTTCTCATCAAATGATCTGAGCTGCTCCACATTTGTTTTATAGCTCTATACTCTTAATGGATGACAACTATTGACTATTGGTTTCTTCTCCAAAGGAAGAACTAAAAATAAAAGTGTGATATTTAAATGAAATGAAAGTCTCCGCTGAGCAATAATATGTTACTCTGTGTGTGCAAGTTGATATTCGTATGAAAACATTATGTTAAAATATTAAACTGAAGATTCATGTTAATACATTTTAAGATATATTTAACCTTATTTTGATAGCCGACAAGTGAGCAGCTAGCAAAGTAAATAACTGAGCAGCTCTAAAAGGACATTCGCTTTGAAAGAGAAACTCTGACCCGGTAACACACAAAGGGTTTTACGCTACACGAGGTCATCATGAAACATTCAGAAAGCAAATAGCTCTGCTGTGGGCCACTATTGTGCGAGATCTTACTTTTCTCTTGACGTCCACAGACACACAGAGCAGCAGAGACCAGTAGAAGCCCAGCTCAAGCATGTAGTACCAGTAATGAGCGTCCTGAACCGGCTAGAGACACAAACACAGGACCTGAGTGAAAACAGGGCTCACAGCAGAGAACACGGACACTTCATGTACTGAAAGTACAACCATAAACACATAATAATAATAATAATATTATTATTTAGTTGCTTGAAATAAAATAAACTGAAATAAATAAAAAAATCTAATGAAATGAAATAAAACAAAATATAAAAAATGTAACATTTCTCATTTTAATTTAGTTTAATTTTAATTTAAGTTCTAAAATGAATAAAAACTAAAACTGAAATAAAAATTAATAAAAAATACATCGACATATTAATAAAACTAACAAAAATGACCAAAACACACAAAAAATCACTACAATTTTTACTAAAATGTAAATTTAAATGGAAAATATAAAAATCTAAACTAATCCAACTGAATCAACAATCATTTCAAGAATTGTAGACGAAGCATTTTTAAAATCGTGAGAAATATAAATTCTACTTTTGACTGATATTGTAAATATTTTGTCAAAACCAGTATCCATATGAAGAGATGTTGTCATTTTCCTTGATATTACAGGTAGATTGTTCTAATAACACTCAAATATGTCTCATATTTATCACTGTCATATTATGAAACCTACAGTATGAGTCAGATAAAATACCGTACAAAATGATTTTGAAAGAAGTCTCTTCTGCTCACCAGGGCTGCATTTATTTGATCAAAAACACAGTAAAAACTATAAAACTGTGAAATATTATTACAATTTAAAACAGCTGACTTCTAAGTGAATATCTGTTAAAATGTAATTTATTTCTGTGATGCGCAGCTGTATTTTCAGCATCATTACTCCAGTCTTGAGTGTCACATGATCTTCAGAAATCATTCTATTATGCTGATTTGCTGCTCAAGAAA